CAGATGGTGGCCAGAGCAAGCTCAAATGCTCGCAGAGTACAGGACAGCCTGTGGTTCAGAACAGGTCAGCACAGCTAGAGAAAAAAGACTGTCAGAGGAAGAAGAGCTCAGAGAGGCAGGGAGCAAACATATCTCTGAGGTCTGAGGGCCAAGGTAAGGAGTTCAGACCTGTATTCTGCACTGGGAATCCTGCGGTAGGATTTCAGCAAGAGTGAGAAATCATCTGATTATCATTTTAAACCCTCACGGGGGCTGTTGTAGAGGACGGAAAATGAGAGGGCTGCAGAGAAAACAAAATAGGAACCACTGCACAACGCCAGATGCTTGAACGAGGGTGTTACACATTAAAGCAAAAATGGAATTTCTGGGCAAGATGAGCCAGCAGAAAGCTTAGCTAGGAGGTATGGAAAGAAAAAAATAAAAGATGATGTCTAGGGGGTCGGGTGTGACTCACCAGTAAAGTACTATCTGCCTCCCACAACGAAGAAAAAAAACCCACGTATCTTGGATGTGGATTTGAGCAACTGGGTAGGGCTTTGCAGGTAGAGCCTGAAACACTGCTGCTTCTGTGTTTCTGGGGTTCTTGAGTCAATGGCCATTCATCTTGTGAACTTTATTTGCCTCTCAGGGAATCTCAACTGTATGGATTTAATAGTCAAGCCAAAGTCATCAGCCCCCTTCTCCTGCTCTGTACCTTCACATTCATTCAATTATCAGCGTGAATATTCTTCCCCCGATTTCTATAAGGTACGCAGATTTGTCTCTTCACTGTTCTTACTGCTTCTGCATAGACGGTTCCTGTGCTCATCTAACTGGCCCTCATTTTATCCTGGCATCCTCCCCCTTAACCTCTCATTCGCACAGTCATGAATATATCTGACCATGCGGCTCCCTAATAATATCTCTGCTCAGGAAGCCTGAAATCTCAGCTATTCTGGAGGCTGAGACTTAAGTATAAATCCAGCGGGGGCAACCTGGTGAGATCTTGTTTCAAAATTTTACAAAGGACTGCAGACATAGCTGTGTAGAGCTGGCCTAGAATGTGTGAGACCTTGGATTCAGTGTCCAGGACTGTGAAGCAAAACAATCAAATGGATTAAATCCCCCCCCCCCAAAAAAAACAAAAAAACAAAAACCGCTGGCTTCTGCTTGCTCTTGGGGGCAAAGACCACCTTTGCCATGGCTCTCACGTTCCGATGCAGCCCCCCGTGGCCCCAGCGCACGCAGCTTTTCTTCAGCACACTGATCACCTGCACGCTTCCCAGAAATGCCACTCTCCTTTCTGGCTCTAGGGACTCGGCACACACCGGTCCTGCCTGGCAGCACCTACACCCCATGTAGCTCTACCATGTCCTACTTGTCCCCAGTGGACATTTCTTAGAACCTCCACTGCTGAATTCCCCGTGAGTTTCTTTGCTCAGCGCTCAGCACGAAGACACATAATCTGAGTAATCAGTGCTGCTGCATTCAATAGCTCCTGCCCCTGGGCTCCTCTTCCAGATACGAGATCCTGTCAGATTTGCCCAGTACCTGGCACGCACAAGAACTGCCCTTAGAGGGCAGGCGCAGTATCTAATACTTGTTAATAAGGTGGAGACACACCTTCACATCTAGCAGTTTATCTATTGGATGTGACTTGCTTATCAGATATGCAAGAGTCTTAAAAATCTATAAGCTAACTAGCTTCATTCAAGATATAAAAGTTTAAGTGTTGGGAATTATGACTAAATAATTGCTAAGGAGCTTCTAAGAGAAATAACTGCAAAACTGATATGGGTTGCAATAAAACACAGAGCTGCATGGACATCCACGAAGTCCCTTCTAGCCATGAGGCTTCTTTATGATAGTAGGAGAGAGATTATGACCCCACTTGCTCATTGATTGGCATCATTCTTTCTGTGGGCAGCAATCTCGTGACATTCTGACACTTGACCTGACTGGCTAGTGTTTGCCATCCAGCCCTCCCTCTGCCTTTTCCTGATCTCTTTTATTTTCTTTTAGAATCTCTTTAACTGCTTTTTTCTCTACCCATTCAGTAGGTCTGGATACATCTTCCTAAGACAATTTATTTCAGAATTTAGGCAATTTGAAAGTGTCCCGTTGACTAGTAAATTTCCTGATGTGTGCTATGTTTGAGAAAAAGGATTTTCATTTAGTCATTCAAAAGATGATAAGCTGATAAGCCCAAGAAACTACTGAGAAGATCTAGTACTTAAAATCTGTACAGTTAACTTCCTGACTGACCTGTGCTGGGCACTGGTATCCATTGCACTGTGATTGCAGGCTAACCAAACAGGTTCCCCATTTGCAGGTCCACTACTGGACACATGTGGCTGCAGCTGATGATGGCTACATGTCCTGACTGCTATAGGAAGCTGGACACTGTGTGTCCTCACAAATGAGTCATGGCCAGTCATGGCAAACCCATTTTTCTGATATATTTTCCTTTCTTGGCCTCCTCTGCAGCTAAAGAGACACAAAATACATTCTGAGACAGAATTATTTTCTGATTAAAAAACAAGTATGCGAAGATAAAGCATATACTAACTACCTGCTTATGTGGGTATGTAAAGACATGATGTCTGGAGCTGTGGCAGCCCTATTGTAGCTATGGGGCACAGCATTACAGAGATGTAACCCAAGGCTGCTAAATAGTTTGCAAAGTTACTTTTGACATCTTGTTAAAAGAGATGTTAAATGTCTTTTTTGCTGAAGCCAGTAATCAAGACTTTCACGTCCTGTATTCGGATTCTCTGACCAGATCTTGGGCTCTGGGGGTCCTTGGAGGGACTGCCCCTCTAATGGTTGGACAATTCCTAAGGAAACAAACAACTCAGCCAGAGCACACTTTCCACATAGAAACCAACCAATTCAGAGCTTACACTCCCAGCTTCTCTTTGACCAGCTCTCGCACTGCTGGCCATTATCCATTCGCTTCACTGGGACCAGGTACCAGACAACTAGAGGCAGTCCTCATGCCTCGATGTCTGCTGAAGTCTCTCGAACCTAACCTTGCTTACCCCGCCTATTGTTTCTTTGTGCAGAAACTATAACAAATGCTCTGGCTTACATCCCCATCTTTCCCCTCCGTTTAGGAAATGTGAGGAACAAATTCTTTTCAACCACAGTCTCTTCTGATCTGTTGCTCTCACCATACCTTAAATTTGCCAGCAAGTCAAACTACACTTTAGAACACTCAGGGAGCCAAACATCTCCTAGCTGACAGAATTTGCAAGGGTCTCAATCCAATAAAAACGCCACAAATAAAAACTCCATCCCAGAAAAAATAAATGTGAGTACTAATCCACTTATAAGCAAACACCAAAGACTGATTTGAAGCCTCTGGGGTTAACAGTCAGATGAGACTCTTGATATCAAAACATAGCACGTCTGAGATCAATTATTTTAAAGAGTGCTTCTCTTGGAGTAAAAGAAAGGATGCATATGGGTCAAAGGCAAGCATGGCTTCAGGTCCTATCAGGAATAGCTCCTGGATTTCCGCATTTGGTATGCACTTGACAGAAGGATTTCATATTCAATGTAATCCTACAAACTCTCATTTTAGATTGCTCAGGTTCCCTTTGTTGAGATCCCTGACACATACAGAATTATTTCTGTAGCTATTTTCCAGATCTGTGAGTTTTATTTATACCACACACAAGTGATTGCTGCTTGGAATACAGGTTAAGTATCCCTAGTCTTATAATACAAAATCCAAGCACTCCAAAACCTGAAACATTTTAAACACCAATATGACGCCACAAGTGGAAAATTCAACACCTGGCCTGGGGATTTAGCTCAGCGGCATAAGCGCCTGCATTGCAAGCAGGCAGTCGTGAGTTCCATCCCCGGTACCGATAAAAAGGATAAAGACAAAAAAAAAAAAAAAAAAAAAAAAGAAAGAAAGAAAATTCAACACCTGACCTCATGTGACAGGCCACGGCCAAAACACAGGTGCACTAAACATGCTGCATACAATTAACTTCAGGTTATGGGCACCAGGTGTAGATGCAACTCAAATGAATTTCTTGTTTAGACTTGTGTCCATCCCCAAAATCATTCATTATGTATATACAAGTAGGATTCAAAATGTAGAATCCAAAACACTGCTGGTTCTAAACATAGTGGATAAAGAATACCCAGTTAGTATTATTAAGAAAGAAGAAACCAGGGCTGGGAAGAGAAGAAGAAATGAGTGACAGAGTAAGCAGAGCAGGTGTCTCCACTTCAGCAGGAGACGGGAGGAAGCCGTGGTGTGTGTGACCTGACATCCAACAGAGACAAAGATGCTGCCAAGTCAACCGAGGGGGATCAACACTAGCTCCGGGTCGGAAAAATATAACAAACACTAACCATCTAAGTTGTAAACTCAAGGAAGGAGAAAAAAGGTCTCCTAGATTGCAAATTTCTGGTGCTAAAAACAAGTGACATCTCAGAGTATCTTTTAATCTTTGGTAGATTTGAAAGAGGCAGAGGTGAAGAGGGCAGTAAACCTTCCTACAGTAAGACTGTTCACACCAAGAAGTGTGAAATGGAATTGCATTTGACAATGCCTATTATTACTGACGCAGGTTGCAAGCAAAGATAATCAGCAACTTTACTCTTCAGTATTTCATTATCGTGAAAACAATTTCACTTATAACCTCTAAAAGCACGGCACAATTGCTTTCATGAGATCGTAAAATACTTTTGGGGCCAATGAAATCTATGAGTGAGCCATTGTAGGGGTGAAGATGCCTATCAAGAGTAAAGTTCCCCCACAGGTGGGGTTTCAGCCATGCATCTCTTACCCTTCTGGCAGCCTCACTCTGGAGAAGCCAAGAACCAAGACCTCACCTCTCTGCCTGGGAAGGGTACTGATTTAGGCAAGAACAGTGGAAAGATTGTCACTCTGCAGAAATAAGCAGATAGGCTTGCTTGGTTGATGTGTACACACATTAAGGACCCTTGCCATCAGGAGGCAAGTTGGAGCTGCCTGGGGTCCCGTCAAGGGCACTTACGGAGCGTTTGTCGGCCTCCGCTCCTTGCTGTCCCTGCAGACACGCGGTGAGCTTCTTATGCGTGCTGTGGGACACTTGCTTTACCAGCTCCAGACGCTTCTCCACCTGCAGACAGAAGGAGGGGTGCCATGGGGGAAGGGCAAGGTCAGAAGAGGTGTGGTTATCAATATGAACAACTGTGACACCTGTCTTTAAAAACAAGGACTCTGGGGAAGGGATCACCCATTGGTGGAGAGTTGGAGGAGGACAGACTGCAGACCATGGTGCTCTCCTGCTAACCAAATAATGAAAACTTTAAAGCTCTCCTCAATCTGAGCTAAATTGTATAGTCATCCTGATTATCTGTGGGGGCTTGGTTCTAAGACCTCCTTGAAAAAATCCACAGATGTTCAAATCCTTATATAAAAGGGCACAGTAAATCCATGTAAGCTATGTGTATCCTTCTTATACTATAAATTATCGCTAGATTACTCCTAATATTGCATACAATGTAAATATTATATTAATGCTTGGAATACTCCATTGTTTAAAAATTAATGACAATAAGAAAAATCTGTATATGTTTAGCAACTGATGCAATTTTTCTCAATATTTTTCTTTTCTTTTTGGTTCCAGGGATTGAACTCATGACCTTGTGCTCTGTCACACAGGCACTATGCCACTGAGCTAGGTCCCCAGCCCCTCCCTCCTCAATAGTTTTGACCCACAGTGGAATCCACAGATGTGGACACGCATGTATAGGACGGTCAATTGTAACCAAAATGTAAAGCATTCTTGTGAGACACAAAAAGTGTGTCTCCAGTCTGTACCGAGTGCCAGGAGTAGCTGATACATCTAATCAGACACCTCTCTCACACACAAAATGAAGACTGGCTTTATTTTGAAAAACAAAGCACCTTCGGTGACATGAACCCACAAGCAGCGACAGCCTTACCTGAAGAAGGTCTTCACTCAGAACTTCAGTCTTTTCTGCCCTATGGAGAAAATCGAGAAACAGGTCAGTAACCAAAAATAAAATATATTAAAAACATAGCCTCATAATTATTCCTCACTCTCTTCTCTTAGCAAACACTAGAAAAACATTAGTAACAGAAGCTCCTAACAAGAGAACATAGGACAATTCTGGAACTTATAAGGGACCTTAAACAAGCAACACACCTGTAAGGACTGCAGGTAAGATACTTTTGAATTTCCTGCTATAGATCTGGAGCTGGATTAAACACAACAAGCATACACTTCTTTTGTTCCCAACATGTATTTTTTTAAAGACACAGAATTAGGTAGATTTTTGTATCTAGTTGGCCTCCTCCAAGCAAGCAAGAGCAGCAGAAATCTGAGCAGAAATCAGTAAAAGAAACAGGGCCAGTAACTGAGGTAGAGGCAGTAACATCAAGGTCTGGCGACCAGGTGTTAGGACGCTATCCTCAATGACATGAGTGTTCACATAGGAATGCCAAGAAATGGACCCAAAAAATCCCAGATCTGATATAAGTTCAGCAAGATTGTATGACCCACGATAAACATACAAAAATAAAATATCTCTACATGCATATAATTAACACGGACATTGTTAAAAACACCACAGACAACAGGTTAAAGAATACAATTCTTGGGCTGGGGATTTAGCTCAGTGGTATTGGCGCCTGCCTTGCAAGTGTGTGGTCATGAGTTCGATTCCCGGTACTGATAAAAAAGAAAAAGACAAAAAAAAAATTTTAAGAATATAATTCTTAGGTGTCAGTGTACCAAAACATACAAAGGACGAAGAGAAGAGGATAGAGAGAGGGGAAGGGGAGGTAAAAAGCAGTAAAGGTGTTATCCTCATATGCCAACTTCCCACAATGAAGGTAATCATTAGCTACTGCAAATATCTACTAATAAAAATTCAAAAATAAAAATCTAAACAGACATCTCTCTCTCACACACACAATAAAAAGAACTTGCAGACTCAAAGCTACAAAATGTTTGTGAAGGAAACCAGTTGAGAGCTAAGTAAATGGAGAGATGTGTCTATAGACTAGAAAAGGCAATATATCAAGAGTGATCAAAATATATAGTGGATATTTAAATTAAAGAACGTTATTACTGCAAAAGACATACTGCTGTCAATTACCCTCAAAACCCTCCCACTAGTCTGAAACGCCCTTCCTCTAATTTCTGAGGCAGCTCTGCAAGTCTTCTTTTGTGGGTGTTTGTACAGAGAATAACAGACAGTACAGTGAACCTTCTAAAGAAAAGGCAGATGTGTAAAACATTACAGTGTGGTCACGTTCATCCCATTCCCAGGATCTGGAACTAGAGCCGGGGACTCCTGGCTCTTCCCCAACGTCAAAATAACCATGAAAGATAAACATTCTGAATTGGCTCCAGACACCCTGGTAGTCACGACCCAACTAAAGACATACATAAAAGAGGACTTTCCAGAACGGCTTCAGAAAAGTGTCAAGAATGCTGGGATAATTTTGCTTGAAACATGGGGGAGTGTTTTGAGGGGTATTAATAGCAAAATGTTTCATCTTTAAAAATCTAAACATACATCCGTTTTCAATAGTAGCCTCATAGCAAGGATGACAATTCTCCCTAGACTGACCATAAATTGTCACTAGAAAGTGTCAACAGGATTTGCTCTACATATGGACTCTGAAGCCGTTAAAGTTAAAGTACAAAGGAAATATAATAACTGAAACCATTTCTAGAAAAAAATACATGAAATAATTGTATCTAAATTACATAAAGAAGTCTTATATTCAGTAAGAAAAGTTATCTTACAATGGGCAAAAGAGCTCAGCAGAAATTTGACCAAGGAAAACATGTGGATGCCAAGTAAGCACAAGGAAAGATGTTGATCATTACTGTCCATTAGTAAAGTGTGAATTCATACCAAAATAAGAGACAAGTATTAGAATGGCAACACATACATACACACACACACACACACACACACACACACACACACACACCGCAGATCGCAAGATCTAGAAAAGACAGAATCCTTGCAACTCTCACAAATTGTTGAGGTTGAACACTAAAAAATGGCACAGCCTCTATGGGAAGCAGTCTATTATAAACAAATATATAGCTGAAAAAACCAACACATGTATATGTATATATATATGTGTATGTGTATGTATAGGTATATGAAAACAAGATAGCTATACTACTGATTTCTCTGAGTTCACTGAAAAGAAATATCTGTCCTGGTATTGTTTGGACAATTGAATGCAGATGTCTTGTGCTCTGGGTGAATGATTTGGGGATGACAATCAGCAATGTATGTACCATTGTTACTCCATGATTGATGTGTTTAGAAATTTGAGCTTCTTTTTTTTTTTTTTGAAATAAGATGGATTGATTGATTTCAGTACTGGGAATCAAACTTATGATCTCATAATGGATTTCAAAAAAAACTTGAACTTATGCTTGCCACACGATCTGCAATGCTACTTGACAAAAATGAAATTTTATGCTTAAGAAACCACACATACACACGCATTCCTTGAGGATGTTGATAAGAGCTTTATCCGTAATACTGAAATTCTAGAAGCAAACCAAATGCCCCCCCCCTCCTGGTGAGGAGGTAAACAAAGTGTGGAACTTATATACAACAGAATAATCTCCAGCAATGCATAGGAATAGAATACTGTGACATAAGTCCACATCAAAACCATTATGCTCAATGTAAAAAGGTCCATCTCACAAAGTTAGAGACACATAATTACTCCATTCACATTCCATTATTAAAAAGCTAGAGCATAGGAATGGACACCAGGGCAGTGGGTGATGTGGGTTGGGGATGGCGAGCCACACGCGGGTGACATGAGAGAACTTTCTGAGGTCATGGAACCGCTCTGCATTTTGTTTGTGGTGGTGGTTACACAAATCTGTGTACATGCTGAGACTCATAGAAGTTCATCCAAACAGTTACTTTTTCTTTATAAACATTGTTAAAGTAAAAAAAGATCTTTTAAGAGTTGCCATACTGGACAACAATAATACTACATAAATCCAGGAGGGTGGATTATTGAAATAGTCTAGCTCCTAGTAAGGTTCTTCAGAAAAGGTAAAACTACAGCTTAAGATTTTGTTAAGCTAAGACATGGTAAACCATTGAGAGATATCACTCACTACACAGGCAGAAAGAGAGTATATATCTTCCAGACTAACAGAGGCAAAATAATAAAGACTTAATGATGGGAACCAAAGGAGGAAAATGGGTGGCAGGTGAATCAATACAAAATAATAATTTTAAAAGTCCAAAGTAAAATAGTAGACACAAGTTCAACTACACGGAAAAATATAAATGGACTAAATACTCTGGTTAAAAACCAAAGCTATTCAGTCTGGATATAAGAAATATACCTTGATGCCAATCATAAAAGTGGTATGTTGGACATAAATAATGACAGTCTGAAGAGAAAAAGAAACACTAAAAATAGATTTTGAGGGGAAATACCTATTTTTGTTTTGTGATGCTGGGCATAGAACCCAGGACATCACAAGTGCTAGGCAAGCAGTCTATGACTGAGCTACACGTTCAATGCCTCTAGCTATTTTTAATTAATATAATTGACTTTGAAGGGGAGAGAATTACAACATAATGATAAAAAAAAGTTTAACTCATTGAGAAATTATGAGAATTCTGAACTCAGGTGCACCAATAAGAATCACAGAATATAAATAAAAACTGAGAAAAGCTCAGGGAAGTCCTAAAAATTATAGCATAACAGAAGATATCAAAATTCTTCTTTCTGTTAATAAGAGGCAATAAAGCTATAGGGGAGTTGAAGACTCTAAAATAACAGAATTTGACACATAAAGAATTCTGAATCCAGTCACAGAGAAGCTGAAATGTTCTATGCCCATAAAAATTCATTTCCAAACACCAATCATCTGACTAGCTGTCTTAGTTACTTTTGTCATTGTGGAGACAAGTATCTGACACCTACAAGTTAAGGAGGAAACGTGTATTTTGGCTCACAGTTTTTACGGATTTTAGCCCACAGTCACTGGGTCCAAGGGCAGCATTGGCCAAGGAGGATCACAGAGGAGACACTCCCTGGTGTGGCAGGCGGAAGGCAGGAATCAGCCAAAGCAGCAAGCATCAGAGGACGGCCCATACAGGCTCTAAGCCTATTACTGAATAGGTCCACCTACAGTCAGAGTGGGCCTTCCTTTATCTATATTACGAATCCCAGCATCGTGCCCTTAATCTCAGTATCCCACTTTAATCGAGTCACCTTCAAAGCTCTCCACCCATGACTGCATGAGGCTTTGCAGGGTCATCTAGATACGGTTATAACACTAGCCAATAAAGCACTTCTCAACAAACAGAAAAGGGTGAATGAGACACAAAGATAATGTGCTCTAAACCCAATGCACTTGAAACAGGTAACAAATTTAAAGGTAAGATAAAATCATTGGGAAATTCATAAAGCCTTAAATAGCTAATTGGTCAAAAAATTATTGTTGGAAACTTTTAACTTTTCAGAATTGAGGAACAATGAAAGCACTGCTTATTAAGTTTGTCAAGATAGCAGAGTGACACTTACTGCTTACATTAGAAAAGAGACTAAGGCACCTCACAGGTACAAATATAAAAAACATAAACTTCAATAAAGTAGGAGAAAATAATAAATCAAAATGGCAAATCTCAACAAGATTTATTCAGCAAACAAAACAGAGAAAAGATAAATGATATAAAACAAATACAGAATTTAAACTCAAGTTGAGATTAGAAAGAAAAATAAAAGTGAGGAACAATTTTACTTTACAATTAAAATGGTTCAATAGAAAAATAAAACAAGTTAAAATTGTGTAAAGAGAAGAAGCTGGAAGAGTTTTATACATAGTAAAGAAATTAAGACAGCAACCAAATATCTTTCCAAAAAAAAAAAAAAAAAAAACCAGAAGGCCAAGATGTTTTACAGGTAACTTTTCAAGAAATGTTTATTCCTAAATTCTTACACTCTTAAAA